GCCCCATCCCCTCCTCTATCCGGGTACCACCCCAAATAACCACCCGTGGTTATCGATGTATCCGCCGTGATGCAACCCCTCCCCACCCAAATTCGCTTGGTTTTGGTGGCAAAACATCCCCTTCCTCCCAAAAAAAGGCTTTACCCTTGGGTGCCCGGCATCGCCTCCCGTTTTGGGTGCCCGCGCTCTTCCTGCGCCATCAATAAAAGGATGAATGCGATTCCCCCTTTGGCTGGTTTGTTTTGCAGGGGTTTGTGTGAAAATTGGGATTTTGGGGGGGTTGGGGGGGTGTCAGACAGGACCATGGAGCTGTGAAGCCTTTCCTGTGCCCCTGGTTTTTGTGCTTTTTGTGCTTCTATCCGAAATCTCCTGGGAGGAGCGGGGCGAGGGCAGGATTTGGATGGGGTCTGACCTCTGCGGACCCAACCTGGGTACCCAAAAGTGCCAGCGGCGAGGGGTGAAAAGCCCAATTTTGCAATGGAAAACTCACTGAGGTGGTGATGGAGCTGCCCCAGGGCAGGGGGGTGAGGACCCAGAGCGCTCGTAGCTTAAAATGAAGCTAAAATTCCCCTAAAATGAGGCGTAAACCCCCCCAAAAAGTGTTAGCGGAAGCACACTCGGCAGCTTCCCCCCTCTCCACGTGCACTTCCACCTTTTGAGGGACGGGACCTTGCAGTTACAAAGGCAAAAGACAAGAAATCCAACCTCAAAAATCCCCCTGAACCCCCTCCAAAAACCATTGCAAAGTCACCGCTGCTCCCCAGGCTGCGGGTTTATGAATTAAGGGCGTTTGTAGTGAACGCTTCAATTGCTCGGGGAGAAACCACGCGATTAAAACCGGAAAATAAAGCCAAAAAGTCAGGTAATGTCACTTGTAAAGCAAGCCCCCGTGGGTTGGGGTTATTGTTTGGGTCGTGGTTGAGTTTGGGGTATTTTTTTGCTTTGGAACAAGAACGAATACAGAGAAATACAAACGTGGGAATGGCCAAAATCGTAGGAATCGATGAACAAAAAAGGATGAGGCCGAGGACCGGGGTTGCTCCAACCTGGTGAGAGGGAATTTG